GGGGTCCCCCCCCCCTCCCCCTCCCCTGATAATTCACGCTGCTCTTTTCGTATAGTATAGGAATTTCCATAAGTTCTTGTCGTTTGACGTGTGAATCATTATACCACGTCGACTCAGTACCTGAGGAAAGGCCAAGGCTGCGGTGAGTTATGAATTAATTCTCCTGAAGATGCGCCTGTCTACGCTACTCCCGCCATATTTACTAGAGTGATCCCCCCGATCAGTCACTGTGATCTGTGTTGTAAGTAAATTGTTCCTTCATTTTGACGACCACGATTGATTTTTTGGATTCCGATCACACGACTACAGATTGCGTCAGTTTTATTTTGTGGCATGTTCCTCCTTTCGCACCCATGACCTGTAGTTCTGACAAAGCCTGATCCGGCTTCGATGATGGTGATCGAGATGGGACGGCTTGTCGTCGGTCAGTAAGGGGATAAAGTTTTTCTCTTCTACCCGCCTCGACGGCCTACCGGAACACCATGTCTTCAGCCCCGAAGAACAAAGCCGCGTCCTTCAAGGCGAATTTCCGGCGGGAGCAGGCCGGCGCCCTGGGCTCCAGCGCACTACGCGCACCGCCACCGGGAACAACGGGAAACGCCTCATCCGGGGGTCCTGGGGTAGGAAAAGCGACCAGCAAGGCGAATGCTGCGAAGGCCGGGATCAATGCCAAGGCTAACGCGAAGGCTGCCGCGAACGTCGCCGCGCGCAAAGTGGTGGCGGACCTGCTGCCCGAGAACGCAAAGGAGCAGAAGGCGGCGGCGCGGATCATTTTGACGGTGGTTCTGCGGTTTAAGGCACAGTACGAGTTCGCGAAGCGAAAAAAGGAGCTGATGGACGAGCAAATCGAGCGCGAAGCCATCGAGGCGGCGGCCCGGCTGGAGGCGCGGCGGTTCGAGCGGCAGGCGTTGAAAAAGGTGGAGGAAATGCGGAAGAAAAAGGAGGTGGCGAAGAAGAAGACCGACTTCTTTGACGCCTGCTACGACGGGGAGTTTGAGAGTGCGAAAAAGATGCTGGAGCAGGACCCGGTGCTGCTGCTCGAGGCGAAAGACAGCGACGGGTATGCGCCGCTTTCCGCCGCGGCCAACGGGGGCAACCCGGACATCGTGCAGATGCTGCTGGATTTCGGCGCGAACCCCAACGCGAAGGGCGAGTTCCAGCGGACGGCGCTGTGGCGGGCCGCGTTCGCCGGGAACGCGGTGGTGGTGGAAATGTTGCTGGAATCAGGCGCGGATCCGGCCATCTACGACACTTCGTTTCAAACCCCGCTCACCGTCGCACCGAACGACAGCAAGTGCGAGAACCTGCTGCAGGAGTGGGCCAAAACGCCGGAAAAGACACAGCAACTGAAAGAGCAGCTCCAGGCGAAGCTGGAGCAGGGGAGAAAAAAGCTGGGCCAACTGTCCAAGAAGCACGCGGATGCGCAACTGGACAAATTGAAGCAACAGATAGAACAAGAGGAAATAGAACTGGAGAACGCCAAACGCGACGCCGCAGACGCGTACCGCTCCTGGTCCGACAAGATCGTCAAACGCATGGCGCAGGCAAATTTTCAAAACGCGTCTTCAAATCCTGAGTCGGGCGGCAATAGTAATCAAGCGGGTAGTGCTATCTCCGCGCAAGAGGAAGAGACATACATAAGGGAAATGGCGTCACAACTTTCGCTCTTGAAACGAAAACTCGAAGACGCCGTGCACCGGGTGGAAGAGCTGAAGCTCAAGTATGATTTTCATTTGCTACAACTGCTATAAATGTACACTAGTTCTGCAGGTCGTGCAGTCAGGAAACAAAAACGTACGTGATATACAAAGTGCATCACAACAGACACAAGACAAGTTTCCCCGAATTCTCGCATGTTGCAGCTTCTCCTTCTGGGTCCACGATTGTAGCAAATTCATTGGATTAATTGGACCAAAACGTGCCAAGCTCAAGCTCGATGCAGAAAAGCAATAAGCTTGGGCATTTTGACAGGGGTGCGGTCATCAATACATACATAGAAGTGAGAATGACATCACGATCACTTCCAAAAAGAATACTATCCCACCTACAGCTGCTTGTCATCTCTCCTCACAGGTACGAAGAAGCCGAAGCCGAGCTGGACCCAAATAGCAGCGAGCGAAAAAACTCAAAAATCGCAAACTTGACCATCCTATGCATTGCAAATATGTCTGGGTCTGGAACAAAGCAAGTTTGTCATGCTTGTCTCCGATGACTCTTAAATCTGTAATGCCTGAGCAGGAAAAAAGGCTCTTCCCTGTCAGGCAAATATGCAGTGCGAAACAGACAGGAGCTCAAAAACTTGTTATGCGTGGCTGCATATTGACATGCGCCCACCATTCACAAACTAGCATCACAAGTGTCCAGACTCAGACATATTTGCAGTTGATACATCCTTCCCTTCAAACTTCTCTCCGACGCGGTCCTGCGCTCGTCCGGCCCCCACGCCATCACAAAAGACCAGAAATTCCCCCTCGTCTGGGACAGTTCGGGCCGTGCGAGTGTGTTTTTCGAGTACAGCGTATGACAGTGCCCAACTCCCCCTCCCCCTCATTTGTATTTTTGCACGAACAGCAATACAAACGCCAGCGACCCTGGGGCTTGTGCATTACAAATTTATGTACCTACTGTAGTACTGTTTTGGCTTTCGAAATTTGTCATGCAAGCAGTGCCACAGGCACAAGGAAGCGACTGGATTTGCGATTTTGCAGGACAAATGAGAGGGAAGTTGTGCACTCTCATACAGTGGCGCCACACTGCTGAAGATGTGGAACGTGTCGGATACGAAAAACATGCGTCGCGCCCTCCTCAACTGCGTCCGCCACGACGTCCCGTTTGTCCTCGATTGCATGGGCGCCCCCATCGGTGCGGACCACTTGGCCATCTGCCTGGAGTCCTTGTTGCCCCCCCGAGCCCGGTCGACCGGGGGATCCGCCCTCGGCGTCGGGGGGAGCAGTTTGATGAGCGCAACTTCTACCAGTACAGGAACTACAACGGGAGGAGAGGCTAGTACAACTTCCACGTCCTCACTTCTGGACAAAAACCCGGACGGGACCCTGCATGCGCTGTCCAGCGTGATCGACAAATCGATGAACGACATCTCCAAGAGCGGTGCCACGTTTGGCCTCGGCGCGGCCGCTATGAAATGCAAAAATGTCTGGGTCTGGAAGGATGCGCGAACTTGTGATGCATACTTGGATCACACAAAAATCTGTCATGCTTAGACAGCAAAGGGAGCTCCTTTTCCCGTCGCCGAAAGAAGGCATTTGTCATGCGGATTGAGCATTGGGAAACCGTCTCTAAACCTGGTGTGATGCTAGGCCTTGCATGGCACACCTTCCGTGTCAAGCAGACGCAGCATCACAAACCTCAGCAATCTTCCAGGCCCAGACATTTTTGTAATGCATAGCCGCGGGCGACGAAGCGAACAGCGGGAAACTCGAAGCGGCCCGGATCTTGCGACAGGAGGGCATTTTGAATCTGGTTATGCATTGCAAAAGTATCGTACTAGTAGAAATAGCAAGACAAATACATGCCAAGAGCAAGAAGAAAAGTAGAATTTGTAATGCTGATTTGCCTAAGATCGGAGATGTGTCATGCGCCGTCACTGCAATTACTACGAGTAGTACGATACCTTTGCAGTGGATACTGGTGCTGAGCAAACGACTGTTCACGCAGGAGGACCTGCTGTACGATTTACTGGTCGACCCCCAGCTGGATGGCACCGAGTTTCAGAAATACGAGTTCGCGCTGGAGACGAAGAACTTTAAATTCATCCTGCTCTCGAGCTGCGATACGCCGGATATGGATCTCCTGTCCCGGTTCCACGTGGTCCGTGTCGTCGCGAATCACGGTATGTAAGACGACTTCTCGGGCTGGCTACTTGAAAAGCGCGCTGGATAGAAGCTGCATTTTCCGTTTTGTTGTTGCCGCGAGCAAGCGTGTGCTTTGTAGTTCTGCTCTTTCACAGCAAAGATAAAGAAGGGCCTTAATCATGTGCAGTGTCAGTTTTCTGCTGCTGACTACAAGAACCTACTAAGCCCGATTTTACTTAGTGTACAGAATATTGGTCCTGAAAAAGAGCTTTTGCTCCCACTCACCTCTCGACGAAGTTGCTACTTCTTTGTCCGTGCTGCGCTTGCAACCCCTTTTGAGCCGCCCGACTAGCGATGCTTAAACGTTAGGAGCTCGTGATCGTATCGCATGTGCATCAGATGTCTATGTCGCGGCCTGTCTATGGCCACACTGTAGAATGCTTTTTCAAAAAGTCAAATGCACGAAGATGCTGCGACACACACGAATATTCGATTTCGCTCGGATCCTAGATCATCTCGGCTCGTTTCGAAGGCAGTTGTGGTAGAGCTTGTCAGAACTGAAGACTTCACTTCCATCACGCATTATGTTGATGTTTTACCAGCCGTCTTCAGGACGACACAAAATGAACTCTTACATCGAATAAACGCATAAGTACGCATACGCATACGCAAAAAGAAACGCCGAAAATAATAATTCGCACAGCAGTGCTTTTAATAATCCTTTGTGTCGTGCATTGATGCACATACCATTGTACTACCAAGGTACAGGCTGCAGCTCATAATGTTCTTGTTCATCATCCTGCATGCTCTACTGCCGCGAGGCAATAAGTATAAGCTGTATACAAGCCAGGAAACTACACATTCTGAAAGTGCATTCAGCTCTTCTAGTGCTGAAAAATTAAACCAAAAGGACTAGTATGTATACAAGAACTTCCAAAAGCCGAAGATCAACTTTTTGATGGAAAAGTAGATCCACAGAAGCCGTGCCTCGGCTAAGATCAAAGCATGGTGGTCACTGACGATCGAACACAACATTGACAAGCTTTTGGTCCAACTTTTTCTCGCTTCAACTTTCTCTCATCGATCACTGTTTACTGATTCCTCGTCTGATCAAATTCATCGTGTACCTGAAAACAGAAACACCGAGGATTCCTCACTTCAAATTATTGTAGAATAATCTATTAAAAGCGTATCACAACAACCCATAGCAGACCTACTTTTACTACTTGTGCCAACCATCTATCAAAATTCATTTTTTCCTCGACTTGAGCTAAACGCTCACCGCGAACATGGAAGTCGACTCTGAGTCTGAGGCTGTCGTGGTGCCACCGGCCGAAGACAAACTGACTCCACCGGTGCAGATTTTCAGTTTTGATCTGCTCAAGACCGCCCGGGCGAACCAAGACGCCAACGGCCTGCGCCACAACGATCACTATCGGTATCGCCAATACTGCACCCGACGACTCCAGCGCCTATACAAAGCCGCGAAACGCGGGCACGGTATAGAGATGCAAATTACGAACTTATTTATTATGAAATATCATTCGAAACCATGCAAAAATCTCCTGAATCTAAGCAATGCATTCAGGAATCTTGCAGCAGGATGATTGTAAATGTTCCTAATCTCGTTTCCCCACAATATTTAATTAATTTTCCAGGCAAGGGCCGCTGGAAGAAGGAGACGCCCATCCTGGAGATCAAATGTGAGCAGGACCTGGAAATTCTCCTGGTACAGACGGAGCGCAATTGGTCCTTTTTCCAACAATTGAAGGGGGACAATGCGGTGCGCGCGGCCTTCTCCAGTGCCAGCAAGCAGCACAGCGTGCGCAAGCTAAGAAAAGCTAGTTCCTGTGCCAAGGTGCTGCACAAATTTTCGCTCCACACCTGCGACCTGCGAACGCAAAGGGTATCCTGTGCAAAAGTATCGTACTCGTAGTAATTGCTATCATGCATGACAAATATCCCTTTTAGAGGTAAATCAGCATTACAAATTCCATTTTTCTTCTTGAAAAAAATTGTGATGCAATTTATACCAGTACAATACTTTTGCAATCCATAAAGGGAAACGGAGGCCTACCAATTCTACATGGACTCACTACTGCTCATGGAACAGGAAAACTTCGCGGCGGCGGCGAAAATGCTCGAAAAGTACTTCGAGAGCTATTAAACTGCTTGGTTTATTGTTTTTGTTGGGCCGCAACGCGCCAGCGAATATAGTAGTGTTTCATCGTCTGTACACAACTACGACTTGTTGCATGATCGTGAGTAAAAGCTAATTGTTTTTCCCATCCTATTTGTGATGGTCGTGATATCTTCGGTAGCAAACGACCCCCCATCAATAACTCCATATCAGGTGCCGTTCCGCGTACGAGCGTCTGGCTGCCGCTTCCAAAGACCCGGATTTGTACAAAACCATGGTGGAAGAAGTCGACCCGCTGCTGAAGCGCTGCAAGCACAACGCGGGGGTGCTGAACCAGGAAGCGAGCAAGCAGAGCACGTCCTCGAGCATCACCAAGGTCGACGACGTGGAAATGGAAGAAATCGTCGAGACCTACTCCTTTCGCGGCCAAAAAATCGACTGCACGTCGGGGCAGACGAAGGAAAAGCTCGACTTGGCCTTCGCAGCGGTGGAAAAAGCCCGAGGGTATCCTGTGTGCAAGTATCGTACTCGTATTGCAATCATGCATTACAAATCTTTTTCTCAAGGTAAATCCGCATTGCAAATTTTGTCTCTCATGCTGAGGGAATTTGTCATGCATTTATACGAGTGCGATACTTTTGCAGTTCATAGGGGGAAAGTGCTAGCGACTTCTAGCACGACAACAACCACCAGCGGCGCAAGTAGTTCGAGCACCAGTGCTGGGGGGAAAATGAACGCCAGCAGTATAACAACGCAGAGCGCCGTGGAGCAAATTTACGCGGAGGGCGTCAATTTGATGCAGGACGCCTTGGCAAGTATCCATGAAGAGATGCTCCGGAAAGGGGATAAGGTGGCCGCTTTGGAAAAAATGTGCCGCGAACAGCTCACGGCCATCTGTGTCGGTATTGATAAAGGATACTAAAGAATATAATTAGAAAATTGTTTTCTACTTCTTAAGAAGCACGATCGCTTTTTACTAGAACCACCACACCACATTCATGATTTCCCAACCTAGAAGTGCCGTCATTTTTAGAAGCACTATTCGTTCTTGTCAAAAACTTGCTGTGTATCGAAAATACAACCTCAAATCATTTCCCAGAACGCGACTTGCTTTTCCTGGAACGGCTTGGTGCGAAAATAGACGGTCTTTCCTCCATCGAGCAGCTCGGCGCCAAGGGGGCACGGCCGGAAGAGGGCGTGCGGTTTGCGGAGCTGATTAAGTCGCAATTCGGAAAATTGGAAAGCGAAGAGCTGGAAGACGGTCTGGCAGACGTCGAAAACCTTTTGATGAACCTACGCGGCTTTTTTGTTGGTACAAAAGTATTGGAAGTTTGCATTTGGAAGAATCTTTATCTTGTTCATTCGCATGTTGATGTCGATGTCGTTGGGTATGATGGAAAGCAGCAGGCATCCAACATTTCTATGGGTCTTCCTCCTGTTGTACTTCACAATAATATCAACGACTACATATTGCAACTTTTTCACTTTTCATTCTCTTCATCATTCGTTCCTACCTTCTTCGAAATTTCACAACAGCGCTCTGCTACCTCTGTTGCGGCAAGTACGCAGAGGCGTCGGGTATTTTGGAGCTCATACGCGGCCGCATGGAGATGCAGCAAACGGAAGAGCCACTGACGCTCCCGGAACCCTTCCAGCAAGCGACAAAAATTCTCAATACACTGCGTAGTGACCTCCCGAACAGAGCCATGGCGTATTTATCTTAGTCTACTTTGTTCATCTCTTTTTTTTTGGATTTATAAAATCGCGACGTAGCTCGTTTCTGAACTACGCGGTCATGATGTTGCGAATTTGGTTCAAGTCAAGAAAGGATGAATGATTCAATGTCTTCTTCTAATCCATTTCCATATCCAGATGTCTACAAACACAAAATTTCCCAGGTGGCACGCACGTAGTATGGTTCTGTCGGTACCCGGAGCGCTGGATGAGCCCGGGGCAACGTCCGGACAGTCAAGTGCTGCGCCGCTTCTGTCTTCTACTGCGAATAACCAGCTCCCCGGCACGGTCTTTCCCAATGTGCCACTGGAGTTGCTCCACCTGCCGCCCATCATCAACGACCTTGCGGAGCTCGAGCTGCCCGGCCCCAACTTGGAAGAGTTTCTGCCGAAAAAACAGGGCAAGATCAAGGGCGCATTGAATAAAATCGGGGGCGCGCTCGGCGGACTCTGGGGCCGGGGGAGGGGATAGAGTAGAGGCCCGCATTTTTTAAGTACTGCATCGCTGGGTTTTCCTTCGCGTTCGCAGCTTCTGTCACAACTAGTATGTAAAGTGCCATCTATTCATTGGTTGGATCATGGAGGTCTTCTCAAACATCAGTAGTACCCTAATTGTCTGTACCCTTCTTGGTCGCTTTTTTTAGTTACCGCGTAAACCCCCCGCCCCCCCCCCCCATGAGCAGGTTGATAATGTGATGCCACCACGAGCACGACGACCCGTAAATCATGAATTTCAACTACCCATGAGTGTCACCGACGATAGAGCTTTCCACCCAATACAAGCTGCATGTCGGACAAGTGGTTGTGGCTGTCGGCACAAAAAAACAACTTTTGTTCTCAAAGCAGGAAGAAGATCCAGAAGCTCACATCCTCGAAAAATCCGCATGATCAGAAAGACAAAGATCTTCGTATAATTTTCTTTGCAACGCTGTGAAGGCAGGGTGGAGAGCGGCGATCTTTTTCTATTTGCGAGTACTGCTGACACTCAGAATTTTGCAGCTTTCTGATGATATCAGCATCATATTGATCATGTTCCTCTGCGCTCTCTAGCACCTGAATAAAAAGAAATTTTCCGAGACGACCGTGGCCAAGCCCAAGGATCCAAAAGCATCTTCCACGTTGCGTTCGTCTCTTCATCGGATCACGATCACAAGGAGAAATGACGAAAACACGTGAGCTTGTCCAGCAAGGCCGCTTCAGACAAGTATGAATCCCAGAGATCATAAACTCGATCCCGAAACAAGGTCTCGCCTTCATGACACGCCACATTTTTCAGATCATTCATTCTCCTGTGTTTCATCTTCGCAGGCGATCAAGTTGGTCCTGTCGTGTTGACGTGCTAGAAGAGGTTTGCTTGAAAAGGCACAACTATCAACACATTTGAGGATGTATGTTTGACCAGAAAGAACATACTAATTGAAACATTGTATTCAACCAAGCGTAACCCCCCATATCAAAATCAACAAAAATGCCGCCCCCGACGACCCATGATCCATCTATCCGCAGGCCTGTTACGTCAACTACGATGAAGACAAGCAGCGCCAAGCAGCACGGCATCGTCCCCGGGTTGGAAACGGAAGATTTATTTTCCAATCGATCAAGAACAAGGTCCACCGACGCTGGTGGGGCACCAGCTGCGTCATCTTCTTCTGCCGGGACTACGCCTGTGAAAAATAACCATACTGTGTACGACGGACAAAGTCACCATCAAACGTCTGCGGGGGCGGTCGAAATCAAGTATCATAACGCAACATCGCCCAGTCAAACCAACCGTGATCATTGTGGTGGGACGACGAGCAGCTCTGGCGCGGAAGGTCTCGACGTAAATAAAATATCCTTGTGTACTAGTACATCGCAAAAATCTACTCCTCACAACCTCAGCGACCACTTTATGGCGTTCTCAACTGTTACATTCTCAACTGTTACATGGATTTGTGATGCAAGAATGAGAAAAGTGAAAGAGGGGAGATTGCGCCTGTAGCATTACAAGTTCCACACAGATTTAGGTGCTGTTTAGCCCTAGGTAAACTTGTCATGCGAAGCAGCTTGGTCGCGTGGGTGATGATGGTGCTTTTGCATGACAAATTTATGTAACAGTTGAGAATGTAACGTTTGAGAACCCCATACACTTCTCGCCCCCGACCCTGACTTCCTACGAGTTTGAGTTTGGAAAAAAAACTTCTTTTGTCGAAGACTATTTCCCTGAGGCGGCAGAATGCAAGAAAAGGCAAACCCTGTCCCTGTTCCGGTCGCCAGACCAGCAGTTTCGGTTCCGGACCAGAATTTCAGTGGTGAAAGTCAGTTTTGTGCGGAAAGTGGTGGAGCTGTGGCGGATGTCGTCGTCGTCGGGTGGGTTATTTTCTCAAAAACAAAGTTGTTCTCCTGCAGTGGAGGTCGCGGACGCGGTAGTCAGAGGGGAAAAAGCAGAAACGAATAGCGCAGCTTCGTGTGGGTGTGGTGATGATTCTCCCAGCTCAAGCACCGGCGCGGGTGGAAGAAGTAGTGCTCCTACCACTTCGAAAACGTCAGCGTCACCTTCTGACCCCCCAAGCTGCGGCACTACCACTAGTGGTCCTCCCCCGCCCGGCGCTCCTGATCATTTCCTGAAACTCCCTCTCGTGTGGTTTTTCCACGTTTATAACCGAAATTTCATCGGGCGTCGGAAGGTCGAGTGCGAAATGAGGAAGTGGGAGGACGAGCTGGCGGAACGGAGCACCAAACAAGGGAAGAAGAACGGTGAGCATTGTTCTTCTACAACTACAAGAAACTACAACGACGTCGACGAAGCTGATGAACATCGAGAGGACCACCAGGGCGAGGAACAAAACAAGAAGAACGTGGATCGCGATACTACAACGCAGGTCGTTTCGGAAACAATCGCTGAGATCCTGAAGTTGTCCAAGTTGCATTTCATATTGTTCGACGCCGAGCCTGTGCTGAAGTGCATGAACAAAAATAATTTTTCATCGCCTGCTCCTGCTCCGGTGTCGTGCAAGGTAAAGAAGAACGCGAACGACGTTCTGTCAGAAATCGTCATTCGCGAGACCGTCCCGGAGCGGATGTCTATTACGAGCTTGGCGAAGGGGCTGCAAGTCGTCTGCGACGACAGCTTCTTTTTAAACACGCAAGTCCGCTGTTTGTTGCACAATTTCCGCGGCGAGGCCTTCACGGGCATGCAGCTGCACACGGTGACGACGGGGCTTGACATGGTTTGCCAGTTTCTATTCGACGGGAACAAGCTGGAGGTGTGCGCAAGTTCGACAGGTACTGGCTCTGGTGATCGTGGTTCTCGTCCGCTGCTGCTTAAGGATGTTCTTCGTCTTCCGGAGCAGCATTCAGCTGGAAATAATAATAAACAAGCCGAACAAGATGAAAATAACGGACGAGCACGAGTCCACCTCGAATTAAATGGGAAAAAGATCGACCCCAGCTGTGAAGTAGACCGCGGCAAAGGCTTTGTTCCAACTTCGGACGACCTCGGTGATGCGGAAAACGCGGGAGGCGGCGGAGCTCCCCCTGCAGCCAACATTTGCACAGCCACCGCCCCCTGTGCTGTTTCCACACGACCACAAGCACCTGCACCAGGAAATAAGGCTGACAACTTCGCTGTTGAAGCTGAAGAACAGAAACAAAACCTCTCCTTTGATTCTCCGGAGGAATTGGCTCCATTCCTCCACGAGTTGTTTTTCGAAAGATCCGCATACGATTTTGAACAGCGCCGTTCGGAGGTGCCCACTTATTCGACGACAAATTCTGCTAAAAAGGCGGCTCTACTAGTTGACGGCGCAGCTCCAGATGAACGAAAAGAACGACAAGAACATCCCGGAGGAGAAGTGCTCCCTCCTTCTTCCCATCCCGACACTACTACTGTCACACGCACCTTCCTCTTTTCCACCAAGGATCGGCTGATTGTGCTAAAAAAATCGGGGAAGAAACAGAGTCCAGCGCAAATCTCTTGGGCGACAACCGCGGAAACCTGCCGGAGGCTGGCGGCAAAGGTAACGTTGCGGGAGTCACTGCAGATCGAGAATAAAACGAGTTGTAAGGCGAAGACGATGATGAACAAGCACTCGATGGGATTTGAGTTTGAGGACCACGCGAATTATAGCAAAAGTGTACACGACGGCGACCTCCAGGCCACCACGACCGCAAGGGGTATGAAAAAGAGCAAAAACTTCTTCGAAATCCACTACGCTCTGGTGTTCAATTCCTTCAGTAACCCAAACCCCTGGATTCAGATCAGCACGGCGCAGTGGCTCCGGGCCATGGTGAAGAAGTACAAGAAATGTTGGTTGCCGGAGCAGGAGAGCAACCACATCAGCAGACAACAGAACACTTCTATCACGTCCTCCCCGACGAGGACAACTTCCCTCTTGGAGCTGTACTGCGGTATTGGGAGTCACACGATCGCGCTCAGTGACCTCTTCGACGAGATTCACGCGGTTGAGATCGATGCGAACCTAGTGCAGATGCTGGAAAGGAATATTCAGCTAAACGGGTTGGTGGCCGGTTCTCCAGAAATAGCAAAACCAACAGGAAGTAGTTGTAGAACTCAAATCCACGCGATTCTCGCGCCGAGTCAGAAGGCCTGCAAGGAGTTCCAGAAAAACGAAGCCGTGATTGCGCGCGCGAAGGCTATGGGAGTGTCAGGATTGAAATCGACAAAGTTGAAACAACTTGCAATGCATAAAGTCGATACCAGTTCTTGAAAGCCCAATTTCCAAGCGGCGCATGACAAATTTTCGGAGCACTTGAATCCAGTTTGTCATGCTGTTTGGGCACAGAAGACTGCTTTTGTCATGCTACTTTAGCAGCTCTATCCCAAACCCTAAATAGGCTCACAATCTGCCTCACTTGCCATCCCTGCAAGAGAGGCACTTCATGTCTTGCAATTTATGCATGAGAAATTATTTCAACTTTGACGATTTCAATCCTGACGCTTCCATAAAGGCGGACGATTCCTGGGTGCTCGTGGACCCGCCGAGGGAGGGTCTGCAGCACGCGTCCAGCAACGGGAAACAGGGGGAGAAAAGGAAAACTCGCGTCGACAAGACTACTTTGAAATTCGTTTCCCAGTTCGACAAAATTCTCTACATCTCCTGCTCGCCCAGCAGCTTGCGGCGGGATCTGGACGTGTTGGCAGGGACGCACTCCGTTTCGGAGTGGGCGGTGCTGGACCACTTTCCCTTCACGCCCCACATCGAAAACGGGGTTTTGCTCTCCAGGAAATAATGATGATGTCGAAATGAAGATAAATAGACGTAATTATCGTGGTGGATAAAGATCCTTCGAGCTTGGTCGCAACTGTGTAACGTTTTGCGAGAGAAATCACGACAAGCAACGACAAGAGCTCCTTCTCGTCTCAAACGGGAAACAATATACAAATTTGGGATCGATATAAGAAAACGTTTCAAGGACTTGGCTCCGATCTCAATTTACAACTTCACACCTCCTTCTTCTTTAAGTGCATTATAAGGTTGTACCCGCATAATTGCTATCGTCCAATTTTCTTCGTTGCACCTGAGTAGGCGATCCTCGATGAACGCGAGCACCATTTGTTTCTTCATCAACAAGCGACACACACTGACACAGACGTACTCGACAGAGAAGTTCAAAGAAATGGCTCTACAACTTGTTGGGTCTTGCAGCAAACAAGGCCACCTAATCATGTACCTACACGGTAGTTTGTCATGTTCCTGCTAATTTTTGAATGTGCCACGACTCGCAAGGGTCTTTCGCAGGATCCGATCGTATCTTCGAGAGTCGAAGTCGTGCTTACCTTGCATTCTCGTCAATCGTTTTCGTGCCAGTTGATCGTTAAATAAAAAACACAAAAAAAAAAAAACCGTACCTTTCTAAATAGTGCATTATCTCTGTCTCTTTACAGCAAGGTAAAAGTCAAACTACCTGAGTTTGGCTTTCTTTTTTCTTTTACCTTTCTCTTTATCAGTTGAGAGCTTTGCTAGTCCGCAACACGATGGTGTACTGATGAGAGACGAGTGACGTCGTGTTTTGTCTCGCTTGGTAACGCCGTTGTTGATAATCTTGCGATGCTATTACACGATCACTTGGCTTAATGTTTTACCTCATTTTTGGTTTATCAAGCTCGCCTTGTCCCGATGCTATGGTGGGAAAACAGACTCACGAACGGTAGTGAAAGTCCAATAGAGCTGCTGTTTTCCATGATCTCACACGTATCGCCTTGTCCCCATCTAAAACTGCAGTTTTGTTAGTTCGCCTGGCGATCTCGACAAAACACGACTTGTAGCCGTTTTAAGGGTTTTCGCATTACCAAAACCATTATTCTGACCTATTGCCGTGTAGTTCTTTTTTGTTTGAAATCCAAAATCTGAAAGCTTCGTTTTGTTTTAGCTCCCCCAGGCCCGCTCCTCGGAGCATAGTTTTTTCAAACCTTTCCAAGGTAGCTCCTCGGAGCTTAGTCTTCTCGCCCATTCCAGCTCAGCTCTTCGGAGCCTAGTTTTTAGTTTCTCTAGTCTGCAAAAGGGTTTAGTTATTTCTCTTTCAGCTCCTAACTTCTGACAAACGCAAATCTGTTTTACGGCCGACGTGGTGGTTAGGATTGCCTGACTGCTGCGTTGAGCCCAGCTTGCGTGACTGCCGCGTAGCGCTAGCGCCCGCCTCGACCTAACTCTAGTGGTAGCGCACAAGACCACTGTGCGGCTCGGTGGCACTAGATGGAAAAAGTTCGGTCCTGCGTTTTGTATGCACCTCGGCCACAACATGCAGAGGCGGTAGTTTTGTTTATTCTAACGACAACAAAAGTAGTGCTCCCTCAGAAAAAGAAAAGTCAAGTTACCTCCTTGGAAAAAGATAGAGAAGATCCTGCTCCCAGTGCTGTGCATTGCATGCCGCCTCCGGGCGGTGTGTGTGTGCATGCCCGTGGTGCTTACCTTGCATTCTCGTCAATCGTTTTCGTGCCAGTTGTGGAAGTTTTTGTTTCATGGCAATAGAATCAAGTACCCATCGGACCTGTTCTTCTTCTTCTTCGTGTTTCACGCATTTTATGAAGTTCTGTCAGGACTCGCGACGGGAATTTCGAGTCGACTGCAGAACTCGTTGTCTCATTTCGTGAACGGTCGACAAGAAAAGTCGAGCTCGAGCAATAGAACCCATCAATTTCGCACATCGATGATGCCGTTCGTTCTTTTCAGAAGCTGAATCAACATGATCCGAGCCAGCAGCATTGGTGTTTCTGGAGAAGACTCTTGGTACTTCTAGCCAAACGAAAGAACGCGTTTACTTTATCAAAATTGTCTGCGTTGTTCTTGTTGAAATCTACCTTCTTGAGAAACGCAAAACCAAGATCATGGTGTCTAGCAGCGCCAACGCCGCCGTTGGTGCTTCGATGACAGGAGGTTCGACGGCATCTTCGTCCTTCTTCGCAAGAGCCTTCTTTCCGGCGGATCATACCGATGCGGTTTTAACGGCAAGAGTGAAAGGAACGTTTTCATCAACATCTGGCTCCTCCTCATCATGTGCTTCCTCGAGTAGAATTCTTGCGGACGACACAGCGTCCTCTTCTATCGGCGAAAGCCACAACTCAGTGCTCATCTCCGAAGCCGGCCTTTCCAACCGACTAAAAACCAGCGCGTTTTCGTTTCCCAGCCAAATCGAGACCTTTCTCTCCACGACGCTCGGGTCGCTACCGGTTTTCAGCAGCTGTTTCGGCCGGGGCTTGAAAACTGTGTCGACCCCGAAGGACCTGCTGCTCGAGGCAGCGCGACTGAACGACAAGGCCAGCACGCTGAATCAGGCGGCGATGGTGAAGGTGCAGGGCGTTCCGGGGGCCGCAAAACTGCAGACCAACGTGGAAAACGCCTTTGCACACTCGAAATTTGCCCGCGACCGCGCTCTGCGGGCCGCGCGGGCGACGACCAGGGGCAAAGAGTCGTTTGATTTGTGATCATGCGAAGATTTGCGATCATTTGGTTGTTCCGTAGTTCGCTACGATTCTACGATGGATCGGGAGCAGGAAACAATCCAGACTACGCATTTTCGCGATGGAGGGCAAGCGTTGTCGCTAGATGGAATTCAACTTGACAGCATCAAAATAATGGTCAGAAAGAACTTATTGGACGAGGACACACATCTTCAGCATAAATGAAAGTAGCGCACTCGTCATGGTGTTATTTTCGGTTCTGTTTCTTCTCGTATTATCGATTCGCTCGCCCTGTTGCTGTTGATTGAAGCTTCGATAATTTTCACAATACATAACAATGGAAGAAGCTGACGGTGAATCGCAATCGCTTGTTGAGCAGTGGCCGCTCCTTCGTAAAAATCGCATTCGTGTGATAGCAGTGTTGTAGCGGAGCATGGCATTTCAGTCGTAAAAAAAGCAAGGAATTGTGATTTTCGCGTCTGTGGCTCAATCTTTGAAGACTAAAATAAAAATTTCGGGTAACGCATTCGGCTTTCCTCTTCCAACTGGTAACATCGTCCATGTGGATGTTTATCTTGTACATTTTTCCAGTTCATCAATCGAGCTCGAGCTCCTGCCCCATTTAGTGCAGATTTACACACGGACGGCTCTGATCTAATCTCCCAAGTGGTCCACAAAAAAGAAAACGTCAAAAATGTCTTCCTCCTTCCCTTCTCTCCCCCACAACAAAACGAGTTTTCTGGACGCCCTTGGTGAGGCTTCCGCGCAGATCAGCGAGGCTATGCTCGGACTCCGCACCAAACAGTCGTCCGTGCTCGCCGCTTGTCCGTGCGGACACCGGCTTGCCGGGCCGGAAGCGTTGCTGCAACAGGGGAAGGAGTACTCGGATAAAGCCTCCTACTACGCCGCCCGCGCGGCAGGGCTGCAGAAACCCGGACCCGGGCGCATGTTTGCCGACGACGCAGCCAAGCACGCGGGATACGCGAGTTTGCAGTCCGCAAAGGCTCTGGAAAAATTCCGGGAGAACAGGAAACGAGGGGTTTCTCTGTACGCACCGCCGGTGATCGTAGACGAGCAATCTTCTACGCGGAGAACTGGCGCTGGTCGCGGGGTGATGAAGAGGACATCAACTACTTGTGCAGCATCTTCATCTGTTGATCGTCCCGCCAAGAAAGGCAACAAAAGCACCTCATTCGCCGATAGTGAAAAAGGAGATGCAGCAGGCTCTGCAACGGCCGCGGGCGGCGGTGCTAGCCCGCCACCGACCGCGGAGGAGAAGCAGGATGTCTATCCTGTGCAAAAGTATCGCACTCGTATTGCAATCATGCATTGCAAATCTTTTCTTTAAGGTAAATTCGCATATACAAATTTTACTTCTCATGCTGAGGAAATTTGTAATGCAGTTATACGAGTACGAGACTTTTCCTTTTGCAGTTCATAACGTCGCAGGGGAGGCGATTCTTGATGAAATGCGAAGTATGCGCAATCAGGCGCAGGAGCTAACTGCTACCGTGACCGGGATGCGGGAAGCGTTTGAAGCGGAAGTGAGCAATCTTGAGAAAGCGGGACGGTGACTGACGCAAACCACGAATGGTGGAAGCAGTTGTGGACATAAGGAGGTAGAAGCTGATGATGATTGCATCGTGCCAGAGTGAGAGTTGTGACTTTGACTCGAAGGGGGCGCATTGATGTGGTTCAGCATTCGTGTGAAACAAGTACGTACATTCTGATCATGTCCCGTCCTGTGAGTACGACGGCAAAAACGCGTATTACAGCAAAATTTAACCGAAGTGCTTTATTCTTATCTATTCGTGGACTCGTACTACGCGGCACAACCACAAGATCCGAAGGCGAAGGCTCATTCTCACCATTGTACTTGGTCGTCAGCAATCGCAATGTAGTTAAGAGTTCTCTTCTGATGTCCTGTAGCCGTCGCAATTATATGGAGAACTTGAATTAGTTTATGCTGATTTATGGTTCCGCACTCTGTGTCGCTCTCAAGAAGAGTCGAAGTTCACAGTCATCGATCCTCGCTGACATGGAGCATTGCTCTCGTTTTCAACGACGATCCTTTGCTCTGTCCAGTCCAACAACCAGGCTCACTTCACGAGTGAGACTACGTCGTGATGAACAAGCTCAAAAACAAAAACTGCAATTGTATATGATATAGACAAGGACCACAAGAACAAGTGAAGCCACTTCTGTCGATCTCCTTGCAAAGATATTTTGTAAAAAATGCGCAGGCAAACAACTCTGTTGTATAGTTCTATGGAGTCGAGGACGCACCATTATTTTTGTACTTCGTTTCTCGTACGAGATACGATCATGTAGGAACATAGTGTACGTCTGACTACTTGTGGTCCTCGACGCCAGACGAGCGGCCTTGACCAAGAGGTGTAGGTGAACTCTATTTCAGATAGAAATATAACTCTTCAAGCTCGACGGAACACAACGAAGTATATACAACAAAGATGAATGAAAGGCATCTGATTTAGGCGGGAAATCGATTTGTGAAGATTAAGGTACCAGAAACAAAAAGTAAAGCTACTTTCGGATTGTACTTTAAGAACAAAAGGCGTTTTCACAGTTTTAGGGTTTAGGGTTTAGTCAGGGTTAGGTTTCAGTTTGTCAACGATGAGAGCCGCAACGGGAGATCTACAGCAGCACCAGCAGCACGCCACTGTTGCAAATCCGAATGCGTCCTCGGCTATGGCTCCCGAAGAGCAGAGCAATTTCTCGCCTCGTGCTTTACATCGCTCGCAGTCGATACGTTCGGCACCGGCTGCTGGGAATGTGCGTGCCTATCAAGCTGAGGAGGAGGAGGACAGTCTCGCGCCTCTGCCTTTTGACCACGATGATGCGACTCAGCTGCAGCGCGGTGTCACGTACCCGCAGGATACTTTTCGGAATACTAGATCGAATATTTTTACCAAGACTTCTGTTGCAGGGCACGAAGATCATGTTCTTGAGCCAGCAGATCTAAGACTTGCACTATCAAAAGAAGACCTGGATGGACGTGCGCCGGCTAGTACGCACTCTTACTGCGGAAGTACCGCGGACGAAGGGCTGTCTCCGATGGACGAGAATCTTCTGACCACCACTCCCACGCCAACCCCAACGCCGAACAGCTACAACAATTACGGCAATGGCGTGCACGCTTGTTACAACTTACCACAAACCGCGACGGGTCCGGAAAGCGGTGGCGCGTCTTGTTCAGGAACGCTTCCTGTTCTCAGTCGAGATGAAGAAATGCTTGCGCAGAAAGTAAATGAACCGACCTCCGCACTTCCTGTGGTCAGTCGAGACGATATCGTCGCACAGAGCAGACCGATCGCACATTATGGCGCGGCCGCACCTGCTGGGCTAAATACGCTAGCTCCGAACTTCTTGACACCGCATAATTTTTGTGGTGCGCCACAAGTTAATATGTTGGAGCCACACGGACACGACCCACAGCTACCCGCACCCGGGATGAGTGTGAGTGTGGCGGCAGATCGTGGTGCGCAACATCAACAAGCGGTTATGAGTAGCCACATAATGACACAGATGGAGACGATGCCGGAGCCAAACATGGCGCCAGCGAGTGAAGATCGCGCTTCTTCTGGTTACCAGTACAACTTGGAGACACAACCGAACGGAGGGACTTTTTACAGCGCCAGGCCAGATCCAATTGCTGCGCCGCGAAGCAATGTTTTCAATGTGGCAGGAAACAGCCATCCTGCTGATATGTCTCTTCCGAAGGGCCGTCTAGGCGAAGCAATTTTTTTCGGACTCGTACCAAGGGGGGAACAGCTAACCCTAACACAGCAGCTGCCGCAAGTACCGCAGCAACTGCCGCAGCAAGTACCGCAGCAACTGCCGCCGCAGCCACAACAGGTGCAGGGGCTGGTGCCGGGACATCCGCAGCATCAACAAGAAGGGACGCCACAGCCAGATTGTCCTCCTCTTAGCAGCCAGCACACTCAGCAAGGCCCGGCGCCGGCTTGTTTCTACGGCATAAACACCCACAACGGACGAGCAGGTGCTGTGGGTGTGTTGCAACATCAGGATGTGCAGGTACGTAGCAACGACGTGCCCATGATACTGAGTGGCCCAGTACTAGGCGGGAACAATGGCCCGTACCACAACAACCTAACTAGTGCAGCATGCAACAACTACGACAAAGCTCTTGACGCTTCGGGGATGCAGAACGAGTACAACAATGCCTACAATCCTGCAGCTGTGCCCAATTCCGGTGCACAACCGCAAATAATGATCCAGCAAAACGGGTATAGCAATTTTGATGGAAGAGGTGGCACAGCAGCAGCAGCTAATCTGGCTTCCATGCCGCAGTCGCAGATGCAACTACATGCACCGCAAGAACAGCTGCATGTGCAGGGACAGCAACCGACCTACTGCGAGCTGCACAACACAAACTCCGCTTCGCACCCGCACCCGCCGGGTGATATTGGCTGGCACACGGTGCTACAGCCTGGACCTGGACCTGTTCCCAACGAATGGAATAGTAAATTTATTTTTACATCCGAGGATTGTTGACGTACTTAGTGTTGTAGAAGAAGTGGCATCTGCACCAGCTGCTTGCGGACATTGTTTTTTGCAGACGTTGGATCCCCTTTCTCATAGCGAAACGTGACCTCAGTTTGTAGGTAGATAGACTGGACGTCGGCACAAACAGCCGAGCTGGAAATGAAATTTTGATTTTGTAGGTAATGTAGAAAATTGAAAAAAAGGTAATTGGGCGATGAGTTGTCCGCCGGAGAACCCGGCAAACAACTTTTTGCCAGCCAGCAACTGCTGCGCTCCACCACGCGTTATTCCACCAAGCAATCCGCCTCCCGTCGTCGACCTGCTGTGTCCGACCCCCTCTGCGCAGGGTTGTGGAGTAGAAAACTTTGTGAACATTATCAACGGGAACACAATAAGTCTTCCTGCGTTACCTCTGAAGACAGACAGCACGATGGTTTTCAGACTGAGGACTGCGGCGCCGAACCGAAAGATTACAACCACTTGCAAGGCGATCTTCATCAGCGACCACTATTCTGCCCCTGCGGTCCGGATTCTTCCCGCACTGCCCCGCAGCTTCTTCTCCCGCGAAGACCCAGGAAAAGCTGCTGCCCCCCGCCGGGGCCGCGCGCAGACAACCTGCAGCAACGGGCTACTCGACGCGAAGGCGTACAGTTCGGATCCAGAGGCAGACGACTACGCTTTGCGGTGCGAGCGGCTCTCCGCGTCCGACGACACGGCCTTGCAGGCCGAGCTTGGGCGTGCTGTCCTGCGCAAAACTGCAGAGATCAGCAACGGAACGGACGCTGCAGTGGTGGTCGCGACGACGCAGATGAAGCGGGACGAATGTGACGACTTGAGTAACTTGCTTCTTAAAGAATACCAAGTAGTCATTTTCGACGTCCTGCCCGACAGAGGAAACCAGCTCCTTGCCAGGGGACAAATCGTCGCGCTCTATCGCGGTGCCAGTACCGACTTCCCGCTCGGTGGGTACGCGAAGACGGGGCCGGACCCCTTTCGAAGCCACTGGCTGAGGGTCACGCGCGTCACGCCGGTGCACATGCCCGCGGGCCAGGCTGCTATTCCGATCTATCGCATCACGGACGCCGATAGATTTCTGGAGGCGCAGTCCTCTGGTGGCGCGTATCCGAATGATCCGATTGCAGTCCTCCGGGATGAGGGTATCAATTATATAGATACATAGATACATTTTTATTGCGTGCTGCAGCGCCGAAAGAACGTGGTCAGCGATTTTTTGTCTATCGGACTGCTATTCATTTATTCGTTGTGAGACAACATGATGTGGGAGCCACGAGTGAACACGAAGAACATCTGCGAGCCTGCCCCGTTTCCTCTAATAAAAACTAAACCGAATGCATATGGTCGTGCATAATTGATGAATTAACGTAAAAGCACATTAAAATTACAACTTTACAGAAATGGTGGTTTTTCCTGAAGTAACGCTTACGGTTGACATCGTGTCGCGGTGCTGCTCCGCCGCCGCAATTTCGTGCTATGGCGATTGGGGCAAACACTCGCAGCCAGAAGGGTTGGACCACTTCCGAGATTCTTACGTGAATTTTTCGTGTGAGCGGAGTCAGCATATGGCGTCGCTGGTTCGACAATTCCGGCGAAACTTCAACGATTGCAAAAGCGATGACTTCAAATTCTGGCGGGATTACCCGTCGGGGTTGCAATATAAAAGGTCAAAGATGAACAACTACAACCAGCAGAACTACAGTGGCGGAGTTAAGCATTGGGGCGCTGAGGGGGAGGCAAATGGAAATGGCTGGTGCGCAACTCACTATCAATACCAGTGAGTAGAACTCCGGTCGTGCGACAAGCAGGTGTAAAGCAAAGATGTCGCCGGGCGATTTCTGTGATGGCCGAGGCACGTTTTCATTATCAGCAGTAGGGCATATTAACACTCTACAAACATTCATCATCATGCATAAGAAAGAAATTGATATACTCAAAAAAAGAAGCGTCTAGACAAGCCGAAGCCCATTGACACCGATTCGGGAGTGTTGGTTTCGCCAACCTGACACTCGGGCTGGCACATTTTTCTCGAACAAAGTAAAATAGCATCTTATAGCTAATGATAGGTCAGAAGTAGTTCGTATTTTTTTTTATACATCTCGAGAACACGTTCTTTTGTGCAGCTTAACTAACACTGCAGGAATTATTGCAGTCTCAACTTGAACCTTTATCTGCTGCAGATCCAGTAGACTAATTTTTGTCAATCTCATGGCTGGCGGCGAGACAAATCCTGCCTCTACGGAGGTATTTTCATATAATTGAAAAGCTCAGAGACTGCATCTGAGCAGCCAGACTAGACTGTTTAGTTTGATATAAAATAATAGCGAGCGAGAGCGAACTTTTGTGCGGTTACAAACTGTACCCTTTGAAGCCGGCAGACTAAGACTATTAGGCAGTACCCTTTTTTTTTTTGAAAGGCAATGTTAGCAAAAGCGCCTTGCTATTTCTGTGATCCTGTTTATTCCAAGGCGTCTGACTGTAATTACTTCTCGTTCTCACAGTACAGAGTCACAAAACGACAGAAATGGCTTGGCCGCTATAGACCAGAAAAAAAAACGACAACGCAATCAAAAAATAAACATCTTCAACTACAAAAAGATATATCAATCACATTCTTTGACATGCGATATCCGGCCTCTGCAGGGAGAAAAACCTCCTTGGCAGAGAGCATATCATTCCAGCTTTATGGCCGCCTTTGTGAACAAGGAAGGAAACTACATGACGAAAACGACAACGCAATCAAAAAAATAAACATCTTCAACTACAAAAAGATATATCAATCACATTCTTTGACATGCGATATCCGGCCTCTCCAGGGAGAAAAACCTCCTTGGCAGAGAGCATATCATTCCATCTTTATGGCCGCCTTTGTGAACAACAACAAGGAAGGAAATGACGTCCTTGTGAACGAGGAAGCTGATGAATTTTTGGTCGATCTTCATCCTAGTGCCAAAGGTGAGATCAGGCCATTGCAGGAGTTGCAGAGTGAGGCAATCACTTGCAGAAGAGTGTGAGTCCCTGGACGATACCGGACCACATCTGTGTCTCTCTGCAGCCCAAGATGATCGATTTAGGTTTTCAATAAGAGGCAAGAAAAATGCTTGGCGTCGTTTGGCCTTTGTCAGATGATGCTCAGCTCATTTAGAAATAATGAAAAAAAAGTAGCGAAAATGCGCGCGGAAGCGGATCTATCATGATCTATTTGTACATAGTTGTAGAAGGTACCACTCCACCACCTTTCGCTTTCGTCCATGACCAACTCGCGCACAGATAGATGGGTATGTAAGGAGTTGAAGTAAACGTACAGATGCAGATGGAGGGGTAGTACGACGCAATTTGTATTTGATTCGACAGCAAGAAAAAGGGTTGTTATACAGGAATCTCAACGGTTCAATCTCAACGGTTGCATCTCAATACTATGCACGGCCTTATGCTAAAACACGAAGGAAATCTTGCGAAATCTCTCATGTTAAAAGCGCGAATCCGTGTGGGGGCCCGACATTTCACCTATCAACTACCACGCTGTAGCCGATATGTCCCGAAGGAACGGCTGCATCTCAACGGTTTGAGACGCCTCAACGGAATCGCCAAGAGCTCAGCGATGGCTCTCAACGATGCGACGTTTCGTCGCGAATGAATTTCACAGCATCAACGGTTCGGCTGCTTGATGATTGTGTTCGTTGTCGATGACGACAATAATTGTTGAGTCGTGCCAGCGGTCCGTCTTCGCCTGAAGGTCGATCGGACATGAGTGCACGCTCCCCTTTTTTTGTACCGCACCACAAGCACTCGCGAATGGGACAGAGAAAACCCAAACACACACGCCCGTAGGTGCGGCCTAGAAGTTTAGACCGAATCCCCGCTCGCCTGCTACAGGCACCTCCTGTCAACGAATAAATCTACAAAAATCTACGAGTAAGGCCTCGGAATCAGGGGGGGGGGCTTGGTGGTAGGGCGGAGTAGGTGGAGTATTGTACCCGGGGGGGGGCGGGGGCGTGGTGGTAGGGCGGGGCTTGGGTACATAGGGCAGGGGCCACCGCCCCCCCGCCCCAATTCAGATTCTTCGGGAGTTCGGACATAGTGCCCCCAATGCTTGCATTCTTCCAGACCCAGACGCCACGCTGTCGCTGGATAGTCTGCGTACGTCCACAACTCGATCCAGAGGTCGTGGTGCTCGTTGCCACCCCACCCCGCGCACACCTTCTGGTGCGTTCTCCGGATGACTCCGTCCCGGTCCTTGTGCTGGCACCCAATCGAGACGCTCGCGGAGGTATCGCCAGAACAAGCGGACTACTTTCAAGGTCTTTGGCAACTTAAATAGACAGGGAAACGCCCACTGTCTATGTAAGTATTGTATTGGTGTGATACCGATGATATAGTCTATGTAAGTATTGTATAGTATGATAGACCAGTTTTGTATGCGTTTGTATTGGTGGATACCGACGGCAAGTGGCGGGGTGCAATAGTGTTAGTCGTG